AAACCCTAAACCCTAAAACCTTAAACCCTGAACCCTAAACCCTAAACCCTAAACCCTGGGGGGGAAAGCCTAAACCCTAAACCCTAGAACCGTAAACCCTAAACCCTAAACCCTAAACCCTAAACCCTAAACCCTAAACCCTAAACCCTAAACCCTAAACCCTAAACCCTAAACCCTAAAACCCTAAACCGTAAACCCTAAACCCTAAACCCTAAACCCTAAACCCTAAACCCTAAACCCTAAACCCTAAACCCTAAAACCCTAAACCCTAAACCCTAAACCCTAAACCCTAAACCCTAAACCCTAAACCCTAAACCCTAAACCCTAAACCCTAAACCCTAAACCCTAAACCCTAAACCCTAAACCCTAAACCCTAAAACCCTAAACCTAAACCCTAAACCCTAAACCCTAAAAGCTTAAACCCTAAACCCTAAACCCTAAACCCTAAACCCTAAACCCTAAACCCTAAACCCTAAACCGCTAAGACCCTAAGCGCCTAAACTCTAAACCCTAAACCCTAAACCCTAGAGACCCTAAAACCCTAAACCCTAAACCCTAAACCCTAAACCCTGAACCCTAAACGCCTAAACCCTAAAACCCTAAAACCCTAAACCCTAAAACCCTAAACCCTAAACCCTAAACCCTAAACCCTAAACCCTAAAACCCTAAACCCTAAAACCCTAAACCCTAAACACCCTAAACCCTAAACCCTAAGCCCTAAACCCTAAACCCTAAAACCCTAAACCCTAAACCCTAAACCCTAAACCCTAAACCCTAAACCCTAAACCCTAAACCCTAAACCCTAAAACCCTAAAACCCCTAAACCTCCTAAACCCTAAACCCCTAAACTCCTCAAACCCTGAAACCCTAGGGAACCCTTAACCCTAAACCCTTAAACCCTAAATTGTTAATGAACTAAAAATTTTTACCCGGGGTGTTTTAGGGTGGCCTCAAATTAACCCGCAATTAACGCGGGGGTGCTTTTTTTGGCCAAAATCCAACTTCAATTTATACTGTTTCTTTTTCGCTATTCTTTTGTTTTACATCATTGTTTATACCGCTCAGTTAATACCCCATATCTACAATGCAGCGGGGCTGCCGTAGCTTTAGCGTCAGAGGAAGACGTTCGACTCAAAGAGTCACTAATACTAAGTTCCTTATCCAAAGGACACTTACAGCCCAATACCAGGGCTCAAAGTTAACACCTTAACTTTTATGCTTCAAAACCAGAAGTGTTTTATTTACTATTATTGCGGCCAAGCCGCCTACGGGTAAATGTATCTCTTTAACTATCTAGCATAGTTAAAGCTAATCAAATGCATAACGTGTGGCTTTCAGCCACGTACTGAGAGACCCTTGTTAGCTCTGCAACTTATGTACTGAGAGTTTGTTAACTCTCCGGGTACTTCGTACCCCTGTGTGCTCCACCACCATGTAACCCCGTTACACTCTCCCCCACTAAGATGAGAACATTCCGTTCTCGAAACTCTCCTCAGCGAGGTCACGTCTTGTTAAGACGGCGGAGGTTACTACACCTCACACCAGCGTTGTACAGCTCCGTGAGCTCACAAACGCCTACGCATCGTTGATGCCCAACTTCTCGTCGTCGGCCCACGGCCCAATGCTCCAAGCGCAGCGCGCATCTTGCTCTCAAGCGGTCTCAGACCTACGCTCGCGCTCCGCGCCTACTCCAAGAGCTGCAAACCGCTTAGAGCAATGCTCTTGACTCATTCGAGTCGTCGACAACAGCTCAGCGGTTGAACACTCGCTTCACAAGCGATAGGTCCGTGGTTCAAACCCACTAGGGCACAGCCCTCTCGTTCCATGAACGATTGTTCACGCTTGGACAAGCTTAAGGGCAACACCCTTTTAGCTCAATGGTTGAGCGCTGGCTTTGAGAGCCACAGGTCGGTGGATCGAGCCCACCAGGGCACAGCCCTGTCGTTCCATGAACGATTGTTCACGCTTGGACAAGCTTAAGAGCAATCCGCTTTTAGCTCAGTGGTCGAGCGTTGGCTTTGGAAGCCACAGGTCGGTGGTTCGAACCCGCCAGGGCACAGCCCTCTCGTTCCATGAACTAATGTCCTTGAATGGACAAGCTTAAGGGCAACGCCCTTCAGCTCAG